TTTCATGCCAATTTGGGTTTAAGGGTCATGGTTTGACCCTTAAATTCAAATTGGAGCCATGATCTCTCTAATGAGAATTAGGAGTTGAATTTTGGTGTGAAAGTGATGATTAGCATAGGGAGTTTAGGGCCACTTATTTTGCCCCAATCCAACCCTAGGATAGCTCCCTAGGATTTTTCCAAAGCGACTTAGAGATCACCTTAGGTGGCTTGGTTACCACCTTAGAGAGCTCCATTTGATCTCAAATTCAATGTGTTTGAACCTTGAGATCAGGTGACCTCATGGCCCAAATTTCACTGGATTTGGTGCCCATTTGGTCCACCAACTAGGAGCCTCAAAATTCTTCCTTATAATTGACCTAGAGCCTTAATAATTTATTAAAAATTCATATTAAATCTAATATATATATATATATATATATATATATATATATGGACTTTAATTGACCATAATCTAACCCTCAACCTATGAAAAATCAAAGCACTATCACATAACCTTTAATTTCACATTAATTCTAATTTTAAGTTAAATCAATAATGAATCCTAATAATTAATTAAAAACTTTAAAAATTAAAAAAAAAACACTTGAAATTACCCCCTTGGGTCATTCCTGACCTTTGGGGGTGATTTCATGCAGTTTAAAGTTGATTTGGATCAAAAAAATAAAACCCTCCTAATTAACCAATTTTAAAAATTCAAGTTATTAATCAAATTTTTTTAAAAAAATTATACTTAATTCCAAAAAAATCTAATTCAATCAAACTCAAACTAAAATCTAGTATTTCCTAAAAATATCGAACCTTCAAAATTTAGTCAAAATAAAAAATTCAATAGTTTAGTCAAACCTAAGTCAAAATACAGGTTTAAAACTTCGAAAACTCATAACTTCTTTTAAAAAACTCCAAATCGAACATACTAATAGTCTAACTACTCACAATAGGTTTTAATATTTATTAAAAATCCAAAATCTCCAAAATTAACTCTGATTTTAAAAGTCAAATTTTAACCCTTAATTAATATATTAAGGTATTTCCATTAAATCTAAAAAATCTGATAAACTTGATAATTCTTTAAAATTTCAGAATTCTCTAAGTCTAACCAACTAAATCAGTTTAACCAACCCCGATTGCTACTGGGTAACCCAGGCCTACGAGACTATTAGCTTAGCCCCAAGGAATGTGAAATAAATTTTACGGTCTCGATGTGCAACAAAGGTAACGATCATTCAACCTTTTAAAATATATCCAAATCAATCCTCAAAACATTAATATCTAAACTCAAACTTTAGATAACTTCAAAAAATTACCCAGCTTAGGATCTAACCCAACCACACGACCTTCAATACACACTTTAGATGGTTTGCTAGGACAACTGACTTTAGATCTAGGTTAGGCCGATGTTTACTTTTTCGTTGTGTGCCAGATTCTTTGGGATTTCATTGCATGTTGTGATTGAAATTACTTGGTGTGTTTGCTTACTTTTACTGCACTCTGTGGATGATTGATGTGTTTGGCGACTAGATTAATCTTAAGATAGGGATGATACGGATTTCACTGAGTTTTCTGTAGGTGGTTATACTCATGCAGGGCAATAAAGGGGGAAAAATAAATAATAAAATGTAATTGCTATAAATGCTTTAGCTGCTTAGCCCCCAAATAAAAAAAAAATGTGTGGCCAATGTGTTTTCTTTTCTGCATGCATATACAACTGCTTGGAAATATTTTTTGATATTTAAATGCTTAGGATAACCTTGCAGGAGAGTAAAATTTTTATTTCATATTAATGTAATTTATTTGATATGTTAAGAGTTGTGAAAGTGCACATTTGAGTTGGGATACATGGATCCAAAGGTTGGATTCCAAAGATGAAAAGATACCCCTTTGGGGGATAGTCATTTCCTATTTAGAAGTTCAAATTTGGATCATTTTTCATCTCCAAAGTGGAAAGGGTAACCTTCCCCTCGAGGGAAGAGTTCTTTTTTCCATTTGGGTAACAAGCTATGGAGAATCTAAGGAACCCAAAGAAGAGAAGACTGGAGAATTAAAGCAAGAGTATCCCACTGAAAGTCACTTGCATCTTTATTAGGATTAGAATCCGAGTTATTGTCAGTGATGCCCGACCACTACTTTCTGCAAACCCTGAGTTGTAATAAGCGAGGCAGTTTGTCATAGATATTTATTAATTATTTTGATTATATTAATGTGTTGATTTGATTGCATATAGGATTTCTTGTTTTTGTTATTTTTTTTGGAATTTGTGTCGCTCTTTATTTTGCTTGGATACGTGAGGCTCGTGAGGGTGTGCAAAATTTTCTACTCATCATCAAAAAATTAAAATTTTAGGAGTTAAGTAATATAGAAAGATAACGAATCTAGGGAATTAATCGAGGATCGCCCCCGGGGTCATATGCATATTTCTGCACTTTCTTTCCTTATTTTAGAGTTCAAATAATCTGACATTTGAGGATGAGGTTCTGAACCTGGGGAAGCCTAGTCTTCTAAAAAACTATTTTAAGCCTTTTTAAAATTTCAAGTATACGTGATTTGAGTATTTTGACCAGCATACATTGCATTATAAAAACATTTAAAAGAGTAAATTTTAATTGTGTCTGTCTTTAACATTTTCTCACCCAACATAAGTCAAGTGGCCACTTAGGACAATTTTTAAATGTTGGCCCCAACTATTCAAAACCTTACTTAATAAAAATGTCCCCTACCACTTTTTCATACAATGACCAGACTCATGTATTTAAAATCGACTAGGTGGTTAGCTAGCTCCCCATTTCAGGCTGGGGAAAGTCCATGTTATGCATTGCATTAGTTAGGTTCGGGTCACCACTGTCTGGTTCCCAATTTAGATTTAGGATCTGAGGCGGATCCTGCATCGTAAGACCCCAACTTCTGGGAATATAATCCAAAATTTTTAATAAAAGGCTCAACTCAAACTAAAACTTCTCTCAATTCAAGATTTAAAGCCCAATAATTAGATTAGGTTGGGGCACTTTTGGATGGTTCCAGAATCTTAAAGTGTCCCCTACTTTTCTCCCATTGACTCTGAAAATAACTATTCAATCCCGATCCATTACCATTTGAAATTTCAAAATTCAGCTTCTTTGATAACATTCATACCAAATCTTTTAACAAAAATTTGCCATTATTTTAATCGAGAGTTCTCGTAGGAGGCTTTGTCTTCCTACGATGTAATTAACTACGAGGGCTTGCACTCGTAAGAGATTTAGAACCACACACATATGACTATCAAAAATCAATTTTTAAAACTCAATTAGCTTTCTTTGGGAAACTTAAATCAACGATTATTGTTATCAACATATTCGAGGAATTAATAGCAAACGATATTCTCTCTTCAGAGAGATATATCTTTTGTTAGTAAAGCCTTTGATATGAACTTAACGATTATACTTCTTGATTATCGTAGCTAGATTTTTGTTGAACTTTGTTCTGATCCTCCGGGGTCATACGAAGTTCTCTCTTAAATACGGTTACAATATCCAAAATAGAATTTACAATTCTAAATCTGAACCCAATTTTAAAATTTTATTTTCACCTCTTAAGGTGATATATTTTTTCTGATAGGTTGTTCGATTTTAGAATTAAAACTCAACATCAATTTTAAATTCCCCAAAGAAAATTAATATTTTTCAAAACCCCACCAACAAATCAACACCAACACATGTGTGCGGGAAAGAACAAATTCAAAATTTTGAGCATGGAGGAAGAAGCGAATGAAGTGAGGCTTCGTCCTCATTTTAACGACGCGAATAGGAGCGCGAAATGGAGAGGAAGTCACGCATGCGAGGGATGGGAGACTAGATTCGACGTCGTTTGCAGGACTGCGGGATAGGACTGTAGCAGACAACAGGATTTCCGCAGGATATGCGTAGGGATTTTGACTGGGCATAGGTTTTTATTTATTTTTTATTTTTTGGATTTGAGTTGAGGTCAACAAAAAATTAAAATATTTGGATTCCCTTCAAGGCCAAAGTATGTGGATAATTCTTATTTTTAAGTAGATCATATCCACTTTTCTCTCCAATAGATGTAAGCTTTGCTCAAGCCAAATCACATAAATCATGGGGTATATCTAGCTGTATTTTCTCTCTTTTATTCCACTTTGTGATACATCATTATTATCCTAGTGACGTAACCCTGTTCTTTTTTTTTTGAACCATCATTATAACAACTAGAATAGTGATACACAACCACCTCATCTCTATTGGCTTAGATGAGAAACTAGTGTCGATTGCAGCTTTCAACAAAATTGTCATATTGAGGTAGGGGATGTAATGATGCAACCCCTGCAAATCTAAATGCGCGGATAGCAAGGGCGGTGATGATGAAATAGAATCAACAACAATAATTGATGCTAATGGTGGTTAATCTTCTACCTTTTCTTAGCATGAAAGCATAATATGAAGAAAATATCATAAATACAAAAGAATAAGCTTCCCTCTTAAGAGATATTATTTTGCAAATAAATAACCCAGTCAGATTGCTTTAGTGATCCAAGCGATTGCTAACTGAGTTGCTTCATAATTCCTGTTTCATGACTGAGCCGATTCTTGATTCAATCGTGTCAAGATTCATAGAAAAATATTAAGTGAATCAAATACAGTTAGCTTTCTAACTCATATGTTAAAGGGTGTATATATTGTTGTACATCTTTTCTACAAAGCTGTAATTGATTAAGTTGTTTTATTTCTAAAAAAACATCTTCTAACATTTTTTTATACTAAGACATTTTGCTAAAAAAGTTGTCAAATTAGAGCACTTCTAAAACCTTAGATTTAAAAATTTCTTTCAACGAAAGTGTTAATGAAAGAGACTATAGGAAACTTCACTATGGAATTTTGCTTAGAACAAAACTATAAACCGCAACAAGTAAAATCTATTCGAGGTTGTAACCCCTTACGGACAGTTAAAAATATCATGATCATAGCTTTGCATTTAAAGAAATGCTAAACTAATTCATAGGATAGTCACCTGTAAACAAGCGCACGATACTCCCTACGTAAAAAGTTTAGGTGGTACTGGGCACTGCTCTTAATGCTCATATTGTAAGCCATATCAAAGTTGCATCTTACCCATTCTTGCACAGTTCCCTGAATCTCAACAACACACAAAAATAAGTTGCCTCACAAAAACTCAATTAAAACTTAATGTTAGGCTTCATTTGGGACGGCTTTTCTATTGCTTCTTGAACCAGCTTTCTAGTTTACAAATGAAAATTTTTATACTAAAAAACTGCTTTAAGAAGCAGTAAGAAAGCCATTCCAAATTTTTATGCATCTTTGTTCTCAATTTTTATGCATCCGCGCATTGGAGGGGAGGGGGGGGGGAGGAGGGGAATATAAAACAAATATATTTTATTAAGAAAAAAGTGAACATTAAGCAACGGCAGAGCCTCATCATCGAACACCTTTAATATATGCCATCAATTATTTTGAAATTTATAGAGCACATACCTCCTTGATATGAAGAGCTTCTCTAACTGCGGGGTTATTTGCCCAGTAGTAAACCAGGTAATTAGCATAGTTCTACAAACATTTGCAAAATTGATAAACTTAGTTCTGAATAACGTTAGAGAGTTTGGAAATACACAATCAAATTAATTAGTTACTTAACTGGGCAATTAGGAGTTAGAGCAGGTGGTGGGTTGTATAGTCCATCATACTTGCCTTCAAGAAGGTATGACCTCCTGAATGGTTTGAATAATCTCTTCTTCCATGGGTCGAAATCCATAGGGCATGCGGGATACAATATATTATCCATCGAAATTTCTTTCAAGAACTGGCGAAGGCACTGATTGAGTTAATAAAATTTACAAAATCTATATAAATTGTAAAATTGGCTGAAGCAATTTCATATAAATTTAATTATTAACTGTTTCTAATACTTATTTTGATTCATTAAAGCAAATTAAATTACAAATTGATATGTCCTCAAAAACTTATCTTGATCGGGCACAAATCTCGATGCAAACTCAAGTTGGAAACTTCCGAAATTAAAATTGGGACCATTTGAATTTCGATTTCAGCAAACTTACAGTCGAATTGAATGTCTCGGAAATAAGAACCCAACGACACCAAATTCGACTCAATCTGAGCCCAAATGGGTCCAAATCAAGGGTCTGAAGCACTGTTGGAGGGTTTGAAACACAATTTAGATTACTAAACGGTTTCCAAACATGACGTGCTTATAGTCGAATTGAGCGGCTCGACGAGACGAATCCAACGAGCTCAAGATAACTGAATTCCGACATCACTAAGACACTCAAATGTCCCTCAAACGGTCCATGATCAAGGGATTCAACATCGGCCGTCCATCCAACCACTCCTCATTTACCCTTGATCTCTCACATATTTACGGGTCATGCCACTCTAGAAATCTATAAATAGACCACTCATTTCTCTTGAATGGGATCTCCAAGCAAGAAGAGAAGAAGAGGAGAGAAGGAAGAAGAGAAGGAAGAAGCTCCTCCTCGACCACCGCCCTCACATCCGCCGGACCACCGCCTGACGTCGTTGCTCCGCTGGACCACCATTTGAGGCCCTGAGCTCCGCCGGACCACCACTTGAGACCCTCACCTCCGCCGGACCACCGCCTGACGTCGTTGCTCCGCCGGATCACCGCTTGAGGCCATGAGCTCCGCCGGACCACCACTTGAGGTCCTCACCTTTATCGGACCACCATTGGAGGCCCTCACCTCCGGTGGAGCAACGACGTCACCAGACCACCACCTGACGTCGTTGCTCCGCCGGACCACCACTTGAGACCCTGAGCTCCACCGGACCACCACTTGAGGCCCTGAGCTCCGCCAGACCACCTTCTGACGTCATTATTCCACCAGACCACCACTTAAGGCTCTGAACTTCTACCGGACCACCACCTAAGGAACGGACTTCCACTGAACCACCGCCTGACGGCCAAACTTCCACCAGACCATCGCCTGACGTCCGGACTTCTGCCGGACCACCACCAACTACGGTCTTTTGGACCCTTGTTTATTGCCGACTATGGTCCTTCAGACCTCTGTCACCTACTACGGTCCTTTCGACCTACATCAACAGACAACGGTCTTTCTGACCCCAATCTCTACCAACTACGGTCTTTTGGACACCTGTCTACTACTGACTATGGTCCTTCCGACCTCTGCCACCTACTACGGTCCTTCCAACCTACATCAACAGACAACGATCTTTCTGTTCTCGGTCTCCTGCCAACTACGTTCCTTCCGACCTGTATCACCTACCATGGTCCTTCCGACCTCCATCACCAAACAACGGTCTTTCCGATCTCCATCCTATCGGCTATGGTCGTGCCGACCAAACAAACATGTCTATATTGTAACTCCCACCATGTAATGCGCTCTATATGATGTACATTTGTATCATCAAGCCAAGGCATTCTCCCAAGGAAGGACCTCATTTGTAATCGACTACAAATACTAGTGGATTCATTCAAACTGGGCCAGGCCCCGTGGTTTTTCCCCCTTTTTAAGGGTTTCCACGTAAAAACTCTGGTGTCTCTTATGAATGCTTCACCCTCTCTCTTATCTGATTGTGTGCTGGATCTTCGTACAATACTAAGACGTTAAACTATATATTTCTCTACCGCCGCGAAAAATCCAGGACGCAACACAAATCAAGATAGAATATGTGTTGATCCACACAATGTCATCACATACAATGATATTATGGATATATCATATTGTAAAATTTAACAAAATAAGTACATGCATTTTCTTTCAAGTCATTGAAGGTAAAGCATGCATCATTGTTGACAAGGACTTAATTTAAAACTTATGAGAGCTCTGCATTTTGTAAAAATATGTAATCTCATTACAGAATAATAATAATACTATTATTATTACTATTATTTTATTATTATTATTATTAATTTCGTAAAAATCATAGAGAATCTTGATGAAGGTCACACAGGCACAAAAATTAAGATGAAAGAAATTAGTTCTTGCAAAGAAGTAGACATCACTAAAGCTCACTTCATAAACTCATTTACTAAAAATGATGAAAGCTACAAAGCTAGAGGATTCCCTGTTTTTTTTTTTGGGGGCAGTTTTAATGCTTAGCCAAAAAATTATAAAAATTCAATGAAGTGGTAAGTTCGGTCGATTTATTACCCCATCAAAGATATCAAGATTTGCAGCACAATCAGGTTTCGTTCTATGCACATAGCTTTTTTCTCCAACACAACTTGTCTTTACTGCCTGAAAGATGCTGTCAAATTAATCCTTCAATCTATCTTTTAAGAAATGTGCATCGCAACAAGGCAAATTTGAATAACAATGAGTAAAACTGAGAACTGTAAAACTTGAATGATTAGGACTGAATAGAGAATCCTTCCTAAAATCTCAAGAACTAGTTTATATTAATGCCAAAGACGCCTAAAATATGATGCATATCTACCATAAATTTTGCAATATCTTACAAAAACAATGCCATATGATGTCAGATTTGCCCTTTCTTATAACACACTTCTGCTTAATCTGATGGATTAGTTTGAAGGTTGGTATGCTTATTGAGGGGAAAAAAAATTAGTTGCACTAAATGACTTCTATATAGTTCTGCTCATTGCACTATTAATGTTTTATAAGTCACATAAGTTGCCATAATGACTACTAATAAAAAAAATGAACTTCTACCAAGATAATCATTATTAAAGTATATTAACTGCTCAAAATGTTTTCATATGTGCATTACAACAGATATATTGAAGCCTCAACTGGTTCAATTTAAACTTTATATTAGACCTCTTATTTTGTGTATATACATTTTGGTTGTGCATAGAAGCCTGAGTAGGAAGCTGTACGATCAGAATTTCGAGTGTAAATTTTATTTGAAAGTTTAGTAAGCTATGTATTTTATTTAATGTGTTGTCAATATGCTTACAATTATGAAATATTGATATAGAATCCTAAGGCTAAAAAAATGTACTGTGTTGGGATAGTCTAAATAGATTATTTCCTCCTCACCAGATTCTAATAGAAGTAATTGAGGATGAGTGTTAGTGGGAGATATGTTTATTCGGATTCTCCCTATCTGTTATACTCCAAATTGACTGAAGGGGGTTAAAATGGGGTGTGACAGATCCTAAGCCCTTAGTTGCTTGATTAATCTACGCCCATTCAATTTGAGAACGAATAGCCTCAGTTATCCAATGTGGCTAGTAGGCCCAATCTCCAAATTGCGGCTCCAACCATGCGCCATGTAATAAGAGCTTAATGATTGTGGAAATCAAATTAAAATAAAATTTAAATAATATTAGAATCTTCCAAAATTCACAACTAATTGCACAAAACATAAAAAAATTATGAAGTTAATTTCAAAAAATAAATCCTACTTAATAGAAATAATTTTAAAAATTTCCAATCTCTTGTTTTCCTTTTATAAATTTTGCAAGCTTTGGATAATTCATATATATTTACAATTAATCCAAAAACTAATGAAAATTATTGCGGGGGTTTCTTAAATATTTGGATAATTCAACAACAAATAATTTAGAGAGATCATTAGCAAGCTGGGAATGGAATATATTTATTCAATAGCTTGAGGAGAAGCTCTGGAAGCAGTCCTTGTGCTACAAAATCATGGCAAAGAAAAAAATTGGGATCAATTAATTCTTGCAAAAATCAAGAATCTATTTTTAAAATCTGAATATGCTTATATGATTGTAAATATTTTCTTATTTCATTCTTGAATCAACCTACATATTACATTGTATCAAATAATTTATTGAATTAGAAAAATTCCATCAATCTTTTGTGTTCCCAACACAAACTAATTTAAAATCAAATTATATTCAGAGATACATAACTACTACAATACTATTACCTAATCCAAATTCAAATCAAACGTATCATTTAATTCAAAATAAGACAACCCTAATGTTAATTAAATAAATGTCAGTATAAAATATAAAACTAATCTAAAGAACTAGAATTTTCTCAAATTAATCTTCTTATGCTACATCCATTTCATTAAGGCCTATTTAACTCTTATCCTAAAAATTTTATAGAAGCCCTTTACTAGAAGAATGATTTGCATAGTGGAGGTAGAGGACTTGCATCATGAACATCGCATGAGTTTCGACTTGTGTTGTCTAAACATAGAAAATATAATTTAGAGGCTTAGGTTAAGATGATGCCACATTATATCTTTATTTGATCAATATCATAAAATATTAGATAGACATATGATTGTTAAAAAAGTGATAACACAAACTCAATTTGTATTTCCGGTGAGGAAGCATGTAATACTTTCGTAACATGTGATTTAACTTATATAGAGAAGAATCTTGCAAGAATATCAAAATCTTTGAATCAATCAATTTCTTCATATAAAAAATAATAGAAGATAACATATACAACAATGGGCATGGGCATAATTTATATTTAAGCTTAAGAATAATCTTAAGCGTAATATTAGGATTAAGCTCATCAAAAGGATTCATTATTACTAACACTGATCATCATCATATTCATCCGTAGAACCTGAACCATCACAATAAGATCAAATAGATTAACTTAGAACAATCAAATTTTTGAATGGGTGGAAATGCAATAGATGCTTAAACTAGTGGAATTGATAGAAGATTCCAAGTCTTTAGAATTCAAGAAAATGGAGTAAATGACAATATTTCATGATAACTATAGCAAAGTGAAATGGAGAAGATAATTATATTCATTAAAATAACTATACAAATGGTGTTCATATTATTCCTGAGCAACTCAATCACATTTGAATGCTGCTAATGATCATGTGCATACTGGTATTTACTGTCGAAGATTTATATTATCTATAAGATTAGCAATGATTGCCATTGTAATATGACTCTTTAAAGGCTTTCATTGCTACTCTTAGGAAATATTTTAAAATTTTACCATAGGACGTTATTATATTGATAGCACTAAATAAATAATGTCAAAAGCTTTCACCCATATCTGAACTATGCCCATGATAATAATGTGTGTTTAGATGCCAATAAGTTCGATGAAACACGTTAATAAAGAAACAAAATTAATTTTAAAATGTAAGGATAACTTTATAACTCCACGGAATAATTTTCGTATGTATAATGTATCTTCCAACCATACCTACTCATTTTAAACATGCAATCTTTATTGGCTCTATCCACTTCAAGATTATAGGTAGAAATATATAAAGCTTCAAGCTAGGGTTTACGTATAACCATCATGAAATTCGGCTCAGAAACCATATAAAGAAGAAGGAATTGAATTCATGCCAGTTTGATGATTCATAGTTATTGGGAACTGCAGTGCTGATGTAGCAGTATTATAGCAGTCAAGTGGATAGAAGATATACAGAGGAGAGAGAAAGGAATCCACCGATTATGCAAGACAAAGGAGAGAGGGATAAATAAAGGGTAGAATAAAACCTTTAATTTCATTCCTTCAATCAATGATTAAATATCCAAACTAATAAAATCCTATTTATAGAAAAAGGATGACAAGATAAGAATAAATTAATTTGAAATCAAATCAAGTAAACTCCTAAAATCTTACAGCTAATCCAAATTCAAATGTAATCCTATTATTCAATTCAACATAAAGATAATCCGATCTTAAATAAAATAAAAAACTGAAATGAAATATAAAAACATTCAAAAGTACTAGAATTTTCTTAAATTAATCTTATTATGTTGCATCAGATACCCTCTTAAAGTGGAAATAATTACCAAAAGGAGGTCAAATGAAATCATTCCTACTCCAAATCCATAAGCAACAGCCATCCTGTACTCATCTTCGTCGTCTGTGACAGGGTTGCCTGCTATATAACCCTGAAATAATTCACCATGGCAAACCAATGAAATATAAATGATACATAGATTCTGCCTTCAAGTTTATTTATATTGAAAATTTGGCCAGTATATTAAGTTGATTGGGATTCAGGCACAAAACTGCCACATGCCTTGAGATTGAGTATCGGCTGCTGTCCTGCGTCATTTCCTGTGGGTTGAAATTGCTATGAGAAAATGAGTATAATAATAATAATAACAAGTGCCTAATCTTGTTATTTGGAAAAAAAAGTCAACCATCTGCAATTTTTTCAGCAACAACTGGTATAATCTTCCCACCATAGGAGTCACCAGCAACATAGAAAGGATTCGACAAGAAATGAGGATGATCCATAAACCACTGTAAGTTTTTGAAGAAGAAATGAGGTGAGATTTAATTGGGGAGATTAAATACATGAATAATTACGTTTCTAGTGAAATCAGATGAAGAACCAAAGCAAAACATCATTTAGGAATACAAAATTCATGCAGTCGCACAAAGGTTTTGTCATCTATTGTAACAAGTATTACTATCACGCATAATCTGCAATAGTTTTTTGGCTAACATAAAAGGTTAAAATTCAAAGAATGCAAAGCTTTTCTCTATCATGCATTAGTTGAAGAATGTATATCAAGGAGATTTGAAATATACATCTTACAAATCTGTAAACTTTGTAGGTCCTACCTTTCTTATGAATCTGTAAACTTCATCTGAAAAAAGCAAGTCATCACTGAAATAATTTTCAGAGTTTGGTGAGAATGAGAATCCAGTACCAACAGGACAATCCACAAAAATGATGCTGCTAAGCTGAGAATTTTCAGGAATGATAAAAAAGACAATTAATGACATAGCAAAAGCAGCCCTTGACTTTGGAAAATCACTGTAATTTTGGAAAATCACTGTAATTGCTGAAGGGAAATTAAAATCCTCACCTTTGTCCAAGAGTAAGGATTAGAGACAAATGTGGGTAAGGTTTGTTCACTTGCATTATAAGGAGTACTCTCAAAGAGTAATGGTCCTGTACATAAATGATCAGAAGATAGAATCATTTATATGCAACAAAAAAGTACTCACTTTTCTTTCTGTTCACGTTTGGTTTAGTAAAAATTGATGGAATGGAAAGCCAAGGAAAATACAAATAAAAATCAAAATTTAAAGAAAATGTCTTTTTTTTTTAATATTATGTTTTAACTGCAAGAATTCGAGTTGTGGGAAACATCCTTTACAAGCGTGATCACAGATTTACTAAGTGTCAAACTTTCTTTGAAGATATAATTAAAAGTTATTCTTCAAACATATTTTGGACCTTTTTACCACTTTTTAGAAAAATATGAGAAATGTTGATATGACTGTTTGAATAAATCAATAGAACTCATAAAGAGTAGTGAGGTCATGTGAGAATGCTTTATTAGTATTTCTTCCGTAAATGTTTATTTTTTAAATTTAATGTTTATTAATATATATATATAATTTAAATTAAATTTTTAATTTTAATAATTTATTTAATATTTTATATATTTATTAAATTAATTAAGATTATTTAAATAATTCAATTGAACTGTTCAATTTTTAGAAATTGGGACTAGTTTGCTTATTACCTGATCGATTCACTATGATTTTGATTAGTTTAGTGCTAAAGCGATTCTTGGTTTTAAATGGATTGATTACCCGACCGATTCTCAATTCAACCGGTTGAATCAGCCAACCCAGTCCAATGTTTAAAACACTCTAATAGGATAACCATGATGAATAAATATCCTCTATCTCGTATAGATAATTTGTTTGGCCAATTATAAGGTTCTTCTGTGTTTTCAAAAAATTGACATTCATTCCATAAACCATCAGTTGGAGATAAGGAATGACGATATGTCGAAAATAGCTTTTCAATCTCAATATAGCCATTATGAATTTTTGCCTTTCTATTTGACTAATGCCTATACTTCTTCTATAGATTTAATTAAAAAGATTTTTTAAATATTTTTTAGATTGATTTGTGATGGTATTCATTGACAAAATATTAATTTACTCCAATATGATGAAAAACATGCCTACCCAACATCTCGAAATAGTATTAAATAGTCTTTAGGAGAATAAACTTTATACAAAATTCACGAAGTATAAATTTTAGCTTCAAGAGGTGGCATTTCTTAAAGTCATTATTAGTGAAGTTAGAATTTCTATAGCAACTGCTAAGGTTAAGTAATGAATTGGCCAACGTCAAGCACCGTATTAGGATTCATAGTTTTCTTGATCTAGTTGATCATTACAGATGATTCGTCGAAGTCTTTTCGAGTATTATTGCACCTCTGACTATATTAACTTAGAAGTTTGTTAAGTCATATAGTCTAATACCTATAAGCAGAGTTTTTAGAAGCTTAAAATTGCTTAATGTCAGGTTATATTCTCATCATTTATTCTAGTTGTCACGCCTCAGAATCTATACTGGAAAAATTGGATCTATCGTATTTTCTTTTCTATAATCCAGAGATCTACATTTCAGATAAACAGTATAATAAATATTATTGCATTTATATTCATCAATATGCACAATTATTACAAACTAAAAGACGCCATATATTATTACAAAAGACTAGCGACATCACTATAAATATATCAAGACTACAAAATGAACTACAAGTGCCTAAAAGAAAAATAAACATATTGTCTGAAATCTCACATCACAGGGTCCTTACCCTATCCTAAAAACATGTAAAACCACGTAATGCGCATAAAATACTAGCAGTAACAAAATCTTACAATTAAAATTAATGTAATGAAAAGAGAAATAGTATTCTGTAAATTACATAAAAAAAACCTATGCATAAATATCTATGTTGGTTATTTGTGCCAACTCAATTTATAACATATCACATCTCAGACTATTATATCATCAGTAACAGTGATTCATACCAGTAACAGTAATTAGTGTTAGTGTCAATCATAATATCAGTAACAACGAACAATCTCAACGACAATAAATAGCATCAATACAATGCCAGTACCAGCATCAGCATCAGTAATAGACTAATAGTGCAATTTATGGTTACTAACAGTACTGAAACTGATTATTGTTATTGGTATTGATCACTGTTACTGATATTGTTACTGATGATACAATAGACTGAGATGTAATGTGTTATAAACTGAGTTGATATATTAGTACTGATGGATTTCAATTTTACACTAATGCTTCACATCAAAGCTTGGGCTATGTCATAATATAATAGGGTAAAGTGTTAGTTTACTCGTCCAAATAGCTCAAAGTGTATGAGAAGAATTATCCAACATACAACTTAGAGCTAGCTGCAGTCATTTTTACACTAAAGATTTGGGAGCATTATTTTTATGGTGTTCTCCATGAGGTTTTCACTCATCATAAGAGCTTGAAATATATCTTTATTTAGGAGTTGAGCTTGAGACAATGGGTGATGGCTTGAGTTAATGAAAAACTACAAATTTCAGTTTAACGCACCCAAACAAAGTTAACTGTGGTATGCCTTAAACAAAAAGTCTTCATATTATCAACAACGATGACCGCACAGGAGCACAATTAGTACATGACATGGAGCAACTTCAATTTGAAATAGTACCTTCGAGTAGCAATCATGTTATTTACCGCATGACTATTAGCCAACGATTGTTGACCTAATTCATGAAGCACGGATAAAAGACATAAAAGTGATGCAGCTTAATGAGCAAGTTTAGAATGAATTGAAACTTAAAGATTGACTACGTATTTCTGATTAATTCCAGAAAATTATTTAGAATGATAGATGTTTAATCTGATTAAATCCGAATAGATTATTTGATAAATATTTTGATGATTTAGAATTTGAATAAGGAGAAGAGAATAAATATAAGTGGCATAAATCTTGCAACCCCTACTTCTTCTAAATTTACTAAATAAAGGATTTAGCCTAAAATAAGAGAAAATTATGATTAAAGAAAATTATACGATTTGCAAGGCGCGCTCAAAAAGCTATTTGGCAAGATTTTTTTTTTTTTCTATTTGGCAAGATTTAGCATAATTAACTTCAGGTTAAATATTGAATAATGCGTGTAACCAAACAACAGCCAAGAGAGAGAAAATATAAAGCAATCAGTTATCTCTAATGAATAGACACTTAAAAAATAATCATAATTTTAATATTAACTGTAGCTAGAAAATGACAAAAAAAAAAACAGAATTTATCCAAATCTTAAAGAGCTTACCAACTTCTGTAGTTAACGCCGTTAAGCTGGAGCAACCAGGGCCACCAGTGAGCCATAGCAACAATGGATCTTCTTTCGGGGTCTTCTCGGACTCTATGAAATAGTAGAACATTTGTGCCCCGCTAACCTCATCGATTGTTACATACCTTTATAAATATAGCCTATTAATCGGTGCTTCAATATAGCAGTGAATGAAATTGCAGTGCTGAAGTATGAGATCTTTAGAACAGGTAAAAGGGCTCACCCGGTTTCCAAGTAAAAAGGAAGCTTGCCTTCAAAGCCCGGAAGATGACTAACGACATTGGCCGATTCGATAAAGCAACGAAATATAAGTAGAGCGCAGAACGCGAAAAGAAGTTGTTGGTGACTTCTGTACGCTGTGAAAGACATTGCTTGTTGGCTGAGAGAGAGCGAGAAGGAGAGACACCAGAGAAGGGGATGGAGGTATTTCCTATTTGCAAGGGACGGGAGAGAACGAATTTTTTAAATTGCCTGATGAGTTGGCTTGGATCAGAGACCCACGTGATAAATTATTTATTATAAAAAGAGGAAGGAGATAAATTAAAAAATATTTGAACTCTTATCTGTTTGCAAACTTTTTTTTTATTTATTTTTTTACAATATTTATAAACTCAATTTTTATTTTTTAATAATTTAATCACTACATAATAATATAAATTTATAAAATTGATTGGCCGTATATAGAGGCTTACTTAAACATTGATTTTTTTTTCTTACAATTGTAAGTATTTATATTTTGAAATTAAAATTGTTTTTCTAATGCAACTAGAGTTATATATTAAAAAATATTTATGAAAATATAAAATTATGCATATCATTAATTTTAAATATGTTGAAAAGATAGTCTTGATATTGTATTTGAAGAATATGTTCTCCTTAGAGCTGAAAAGCTCATCATATATAAAAATAACTATTTGTAAATAATTTTTATTATTTAATATTAAAAATTCAATATTTAATAAAATGAATGCTTTTATAATTTAGCAAACAAGTATAACTAGCTTTTAAATAAAGATTGTGAAAATAATATTACTTTAGTAAGCTTAACATCCTAAATGATGATGGGAAAAAAAATTCATCATATTAGTAAAATAGAAGTTTAAAGAAAATAAAATATAAAAAAATCTTAAGACTTAATGATATTCCAAATAGAGGTATAAAACGCTAGAAGATTAAAGGATTTCCTGGGTTAATAAAAATTTTAATATTATTTTGAAAACTAAAAAGATGTCAGATGAGTGAAGGAGTGTGTTGGTTCCTATTTTTACGATTAAAAATGATGTATAAGAGTGTGCAAGTCATAGAAGAATTAAGCTAATTTGTCATAGATTAAAATTATAGGAATAGTAATTAAGCTTAGGTTGAATTCTTGCTTGAAGAAGCTATACCTTTGCTGAGAGGTTTGTTGGAGAAGCATAGAGAGAGAGTAAGGATGACCTATATATGATATTTATTGATTTTGAGAAAGTATATGATAAGGTTCTAAGAAAAGTGCTCTAGAGATTTCTAGAGAAAAAAGGAGCTAATAATATATATAAGTCATTAAGAATTTGTATATATGACCTATTACTTGTGTTTAAACACAACATGATTTGACCAATTATTTCGTATTTCAATTATTACATCAAGGATTAGCTCTAAGCCCACATTTTTTTACTTTAGTCATGGATGTTCTTACTAGACATTTGCAAGAGGATATACCTTGATGTATGCTTTTTGCTGATATATTCTTCATATTGATAAGACTAGAGAGGGAGTTGAAATAAACTTAAATTATGGAGGCCAACCTTAGAGCCCAAGGGTTTTCATTTTAGTAGTTCTAAAACTAAATACATTAGTACAATTTTAGTAGTAATATAATTGGTGGTGGGATTATGATATTGGGTGATCAAGTCATTAAAAAGAGTGCATATTTTAGATATCTCTGATCTATTATTCAAAGTAATGGTGAAATGGAAGGAAATATTATTAGTAGATCGAATTCAAGTTGGAAGGTTGAAGTGGAGAAATGCATCGGGCCTTTGGTGTGATAGAAAAGCACCACTCAAACTCAAGGGAAAAATTTATAAGTTTGTGGTGAGATCTGCAATACTTTATGGCTTAGAATGTTAGCCATTAAAAGAGCAACATGAAGTTAATTAAGCTTAGTGTTGCAAAGAGGCAGATGCTCAAGTGGATGCGTGGCTTTACACTTAGAGATAGACGTGAAACAATTATAAACGTGAAAAAGTTGGAGTTGCTCAAGTGGCAGATAAGATTAAAGAGTGTCACCTTAGATGTTTTGGTCACATAAAATGTGGCCTTTTAATGACTAGATTAGGAGAGTAAATGTATTAGAAATCATCTATGTTAAGAAAAGTGTAGGTTGACTTAAAAATGACTTGGTTATAAAGTATTATATTTTTTTATTAGATTTAAATGAGAATTTGAATTTTAAGACGACACAATGGAGAAAAATGATTCATGTAGCCAACCCCACTTAGTAGAAAAAAGGCTTCATATTGTCATTGTAATACAAATAGCAATAACTAGCAAGACCTTATCCTAGAGTTTTTGAAAATTCTACTAGTAGTACTAAATTTTGCTATAAAATCTAATATGTGATATGCCACATTTAAGTTGAATTCTACAAGTATTATTTAGTTGAATGAGTTGTTTTGTTTGCAAAAGAAATGTAGAATAAAAAAAAAAGTATAAAATAAATTTTATGTGTTTAGTTAGATGAAAAGGGAATGCTATAAAAAATTCACATGCATTCATTTTTCACTCGCTAGTTCATTTTTATTGTATTGTAAACAAGCCCAATTTTGATCAAATTCCTTTTTCAACGTGGCCATAAACCATCATTGCCAACTTATCACTATCATATTACTTTATGTACCATTTATTTTACTTCAAGCCAAATAAAAGATCTCATACATTCATTTTACACTCATCCAAATAACTTCAAATTTTCATATATACTATATTCCTTTTATGTTGTATCCCTTTAACTCTTCATTCTTTTTTCAACAAACAAAACAACCCCTTAAGAAAAACCCTGACATTAATATAACAATTTTAAAATTTTTTATATGAGGAGAATCTTAGTTTTATATCCTAATTTATGAAATATTTATTATGTTTTTTTTTTAATTTAAAAGTGGTTGTCATTTTTTTCATATGACCAAGCTATGAATTTATATTGTAGAGTAAGGATTACTTATTAATAAAATCATTTTTGTGAAGATATGATTGATAATAATGTACCAGTAAAAGCCATTGATGAAGATGGATGGATAATTCGATTCGTATATGTTTCATCTAAATATTTGTTACATAGGAGAATGAGTGTTTAAAGTATTAACTTTAAACAAAAAACCAACATTCTTGTAGAAGGAACATAGTTGATAGTTGACGGAGGTCGAAAAGACCATGGTCGGCAGTTGACGGAGGTCAAAAGACCGTTGTCTAGCGATGGACGTTGGAAGGACAACAATATGACGTCAGAGGCTGGAAGGACCGCAATCGGTGAGCGATTGTGGTCAAAAAGATCGTTGTATGGTGATGGAGGTTAGAAGGATCGTAGTCGGCAGGCAATAGTGGTTAGAAAGATTGTTGTATGGTAACAGAGGCCAGAAGGATCGTAAGATGGCGACGGAGGTCGGAAAGATTGTATAAGGCGAGCAATAGTGGTCAGAAAGATCGTTGTCTAATGGCAGAGGTCAAAAGGACCGTAGTCTCGCGACGGAGGTCATAAGGATTGTAGTCGTCGGGCGAAAATGGTCAGAAAGATTGTTATCTGGCAAAGAAGGTCTGAAAGATCGTAGTCGATGGGCGATAGAGGTCAGAAAGACCATAGTCTAATGAGAGAGGTCAGAAGAACCGTGCAGTTGGCGGGCGACTAAGGTTTGGCGGGCGACTAAGGTTCAAAAGACTGTTGTCTAGCGACGGAGGTCGAAAAGACCATAGTATGGAGACAAATGTCCATACTATGATCGAAAAGACTGTTGTCTAGGGACAGAGGTTAAAAATACCATAGTTGGTGGTCGTGTGGAAGTTCGGTGGCCAGCTAGAAGTCCTACATCAATTGGTGGCCGGGCAGAAGTATGACGTGTAATAGCCCAAATTTTTAACTATCGAGATATTTCCCTCGTTGGCTTAAGAGCCTCACAGTTTTGTCCTGTTGGTGTAAATTCTCAGTAGGCCATCCATCACATAATTACTCTGAGATGAGCACGCTAAAATGTGAACTTTCTTAAAGAATTCCACCTAAACCAAAAGACCCCTCGATGTTTAAGAGTTTAGCTTTTTTTATTTAAGGGGTTTCACACGACATCAATCGGTGGCCAGGCAGAAGCTCGGCGATAGTCCAGCGACGGTCGGTGGTTCGACGGTGGTCAACGAGGAGACTTGTGGCAAGAGAACTATAGTTTCTCTCTCTTCCTTCTCTTCCTTGCTTCCCTCCCCCCTTCCATGAGAAATGAAGGGGTTTATTTATAATTTTTCGAGAGTGGCATGGCTAATGAATAGGAGGGAGATCAAGAGGTAAGTTGGAAGTGGTTTAAAATGACGACATATATTGATTCCCTTGATCGTAGAATATTTATTGGGCATTTAAATATCTTAATGATTTCAAGATTTGCCGATCTTAGGCTCGTTGGATTCATCTTGTCGAGCCGCTAGATTCGAATATAAGCATGTCATGTTTGGAAACCGTTTGGTAGTCTAATGTATAGTTAAAACCTTTCAAATGAGCTTCAGGTCTTTGATTTGGACCCATTTAGGCTCGAATTGAGTTGAACTTGATTTTGTTGGGTTCGTCTTTTTGAGACATTCAGATCAACTATAAATTTGCTGAAATTGGAGTTCATATGGTCTTAGATTTAATTTTGGAAGCTTTTAACTTGATTTTGCCTCAAGATTTGTGTCTGATCAAGATACATTTTTGATGACATATATCAATTATAGAATGAAGTTTGATGATTTATGATTCCATTTCTGAGTGCGCTTATATTTTCTATGTGCAATGTTTGCATTGCATTTTGCAATTAGGATTTTGGATTACTCTTGCAATGCATATGGTTACAAAACTTGGTAAGACCCTTCTCTATAACTAGAAATGTTTTAAATTTATAAATTTGAAAGCATAGAATAAACTAGAAAAGTTGAAATGAAACTAGGGAAAGTTTCTCTGGGAGCATTGTGGCGCTGACATTGTAAGTATTGTGACGTTTCCCTCTCTTTTTGAGAGACAGAACTAGCAAAGCACAACGATATTCGGCACTGTCCTCTCTATCTTGTGGTGTAACGTTGTCCTCCCTGTCTTGAGGTAAATTTAAGAGAGTGCTACAATGCTCATAGTAAATGTCGTGGTGATGAATTCTCTATTTGTAAAGGGCCTAAGGGAATCTATAATATGTTGACTGAGCATTGCGATGCTGACTACTAATACTTATTTTTATATA